GAACAGCAATCTGTTATTTTAGTCACGTACTGCCTATTAACTGGAAGTTAATTAGAGCCCTGGGATAAAGCATCAAAGTGATCCGGGGGTCTGAAGACATGTGTTGTTACAGCACTTGGTGCAGGGAGACACTTGCTGGTATCATCAGCTCCCCTCTGCAGTAGCCATTGAAACCACGGGTATAGGTGTGCAAAGTCTCACTGTTCAACAACACTCCCTCAGGAACTCTAATACTTACAAAATAAAAAAAAAAAGTCCTAAATCATTACAGAAAACAGAGACATGGTCCATGTTTAAAACATACTGAAGAGTGAAGAGAATCGTATAAAAATCCTATGAATGGTTCAGAAGAGAGAGCGCCTGTGAGCTGCCCCCTCAGCCAGTACTTATGATGAAGATCTCGCCAGCTGCCACGCACGTATCGAGGACACCTCTCCACCAACAAGCAAACCCTGCCCCGGCCCGCCTCCCTCTCCTGGGTAGAGCATCCTGTCCTGCTGGAGCCACGGCCACCTTTCACACGGGAACGGTGCCCTGGGACAAGCCCCACCACCGCTTTCCATTAGCCGCCATCAGCCCCAACGCCTGTCCCAGCTCCAGCTACGCTCTCGGCCAGGTCAGACGGCAAAGCAGGTTTTCCCTCTGCATTTGCAGAGACGGTACCCACAGCACGAAAATGATTTCTCCCCTCTTTGGGGACCCTGCCTGCTTCACAAGCCCTAAAGATCCTGTCATGTAAACATGTACAACAGCTTATTTAGATGGAGAAAGACACACACAGTCACGACAGGACCTTGGGGAGATATATATTCCCTAACTGAGTGCTGAAGGTTGTATTTTTTATGGTAAGTGGTCAAAAGATGTTAACGAGTCACCAAGATGCAGTTTGCCCTGGAGCGCTGGTGTTTTTTATTGGGCCATCTGGGCTTTACTGCAACGCAAACAGCATTACTGACGATTGTTATTAACAACATTATAATCATTAACAAAATACCACAGTGCTCGGATTTCAGGTGTCGCCTCACCTCCTGCTGCACAGCCCAGGCTTTCCGAAGATTAAGCTGGGATTTAGAGGACAGCCTGCCCAAAATCCATCAGCGGGGAGAGCGTGGTATCTTTAGGCACCCAGCATCCAGCCCTCCCGAGCGCAGAGGCTGCAGTCGAACCTCAAATATCCTTTTTCCTGCTTGGAAGTGACCTTGGGCAGCAGCTGACAGCCCTGCTGCCGGGGCCCAACTCCACCTTCCCCTTACCATAGGACAAAGAATAATTAACACCTTTGTTCACAGGCATACATGGTTAGGAGAACATACTGTCTTTTAAAGCCTGCCCCATTTCTCTGCAAGAGGTGAACCCATGACCTGTTTGCACTTGAGCAGAAGATGGCACATCGGGGATGTGTGTCAAGTTGCCAAAACCCAAAAAGTGGAAAAAAGAACCACCCAAAAAAGTGCATTTCTGTTACAGTGTGTATACGGATGCTCATTACCTAGACAACGTTTGATGGAGTAAATGAAAATCAAACATCTTCTCCACTAGCTGTTGCCTCACTCATCATCTTTTTTCTGTCGGGACATTAGACTTCTTATGAGTATCAGTCGCTTTCCTGGTTTTAGCCTCTTTTGGTGAGAAGCTGTGAACAGACGATACTTGCAGCAGCAATCCTGACCCTGGATGCCTCCTCCTGGAGAGGACATCTCCACATGCGCTCATCTCACCTCATTTTAGGCTAAGGCAGAGCTTACCCTGTGCACCCCATCTCAGAGGCACCACTGCCTGCCTCCCAGTCCGGCTGCACTTCAACCCTGCGTTCGGTCCAAAGTCCAGCTCTCCAGAGCACCACCAGGAAAGCAGGGAGCAGAATGGTGCTTTACAGAGAACCATCCATCTGCAGTGTTTGCGCACACAGTCCTTGCTAAAGTCACAGCAAAACAGTGCATAAATTCTTACTACAGTGCACTAAACCCAGACACTTTGATTCAAGATACACAGTAGAAAAACACACAGGGGAAAAAAAAATTAATCTTACTTTGTCTAGATAGTGCCTTACTTTGCAGCATGGTACCATCCACACAGAGGGAGCCAGGAGCCTCAGCTGACAGGGACTGGCACGGCTCCACTGCTTTCCAGCGAAGCCAAGCCAATATAAAGACAGCTGCAGACTGGGTCCAAAATATGAAGCCACAAAAAAAGTTCCTTTAAATTATTGAAGATATACTCACTTCTGGCTCCCATGACTGCTTTTACAGCGCTCTCTCCATTCAAAGCATCGTCACCCACCCTTCAAGCAGGATTATTTTCCTTTTCAATTGGACTTTGACTCAACAGCAAATTTAATTAACTGACCTAATGGACTAGAGCAGTGGATTGAAGAAAAAAAAAAGAAATAAAAAACAACTCCCACAAAACACACAACAGAAAGAACCACCACTGCAGCCAAAAAAAAACCCAAGTAAAACCAAAAAACCTAGAGAAAAAAATGTGGCTTATGCTCCTGCTTTATAGAGATGCAAAATAATAAAAGGATCCTCACATTGTGAGGTACAGCTTCTCCATGCTGGCAACCATTTGCTCTTTATTGTCTTTTAACAGAAGATCCCAAAGCCCTTTACAAGCTTTTAAGCTGCGCAATACCCTAACATGCCAAGAAGGCAGCTATATGGGGAATACTACCATCCCCATCCCAGAACTTCAGCCAAGCTGCACGCTGATACTCATTTTATTAAAACCTCATAGATGCACACATGAAGGAACTGGTGCTGCACTCCCTGTTGGGAACACGCTTCCACCAACATCTGGAGCATCTCCATCACTTACGTGAACACTGAACGTGGCTCAGCATCTTCACCACCACTACGTCCCCTGAACCACCTCAGTCCCGGGACACCGCAGATGCCTGTGCAGGAGTCCCAATTCAGAGGTCCTCGCAACAAGATGGGCTCTTGGCTCCTCTAACAGTCTTGGCTCCTCTAACATCGGGAGGCACTGCAGGCACCGAACCAGCAGAAGACTGTACACACAACAACGTGACCAACACCTCTGGCTCCAGCTATATATTGGCTACATGAACCACATCTCTCAAACAACAGAGTCCCAACCACAGCAAAAGCAGCAAGCCCGACGCCCGCAGCAGTGCCGTGCCCAAGCCGCACGTCACCCTTCAGTCCGAGAGCAGCCACGAGAACCTGGCCCCGCTGCTCCTCCGAAAAGCTCTGCACACCCCTTCCCAGCTTTGGAGCTGCTGGTGACATTTCTGGCCTGGGATTATTTATTGCAACGTTCAAAGCAAGCAACACGTCACTTGGAAAGTGAAGCACCACTTAAAAGGCACGCCACTGAAATACGGCTGCATTACATATGATTATAAATCAGCTAACTTCCCATTGACTTATTTGAGAATACATCCATTTGCACAGAAAAAAATAATCAGACATCCACTCATTAAGGCTAACTTCATCAGCCGTGGTGAGGAGCAGTGTATTCCCCTCACCCTTCTGACTGCACAGAGCTGCTACTCTGTCTGCCTTTCCTCTTCTATTAGGAAAAGGGGAAAACAAAGAAAAGAGTATTTCACGCCTGTCACAAGATCACCTGATGGAAGCTTCCAAGAACAAATTCATCACTGCACATGCACAGTACAGTCAGGGTGATGTGCATGCAAAGCAGTGATTAATTATAGACTTTTTGCTGAGGAAATTTCTGAGCATGAAGGGCAAAATTTAAATTGCTGATCAGCATCACTTTTGTTATAACATGTTTGGAAACAAACTAATGGGTTGGAATTAGGCTCCTTGTACCAGCTTTGACACCTGTATCTGCCATGTAAGAAATAAAATAAAAAAATACTTCAAAATATGTTCTTTCAGATGCAGATTCCTTTCTCTTCATCGAAAGATGGTGAGTAATGTGTGGAAAGCTGCCAGAAAACGTGTTTGTGAAGCATGGGAGCCCAGTGTGGCAGAAGAGTGTGGGTCCCACTGCCCAGCCCTTCTGCTCCTCCAGAGGGAAAGAAGGTATGACCCTGCCCTTGATGGTGCCCGAGCTCCACAGCACACGTAGGCTGGGTGAAGTCATGGCATGGGAGGGAAACCCACCACTTCCTAGGGGTTCCTGCAGCCCTGCCCAAGACCTCCGTGCTGTGGAACGGCAGGAAAGGCCACCAGCCACAGTGGGTCCATGGCCTCAGATCAGCCCCACTGCTGCTGCCCAGTCTGCAGGCAAGAGCGCAGCTGGGGGCTCATCCCTACGCTCTGCTACTCCTGCTCCAAGCAGCACGCCCAACTGCCAATTTCTACTGACTGTTTTCATGCCTAGAGAACAAAAATAGGAGATCCAGAAATTGTTTAAAAATAAGAATTCCTACCCCAGCCAAGCATCTCCAGTGCTGACAAAGCTCTCACGTGAGGTTAGCTCTGGGACTCCTCCTGGCCCACAGCCTGCATGGTCTGTGTCTTGGTCTATCTCAGCCGTGCCACGCTGGCACAAAGTCCCAGCCCTTTAAAAATAAAGGCATGAACAAACCTGCTTACAGAACAGGTGATGTCAGTGTCAAACACCTATAGCTGCATCATCTCACCAGCAAATTATGTCAAGTACCAGAAGTTATCTTTGCCAGTGTTTGGACTCTAGGATCATTCAATACTTCCCTCTCATTCTAATTTTTGACTTTATGCCCAAGTTGGTTGCCGCTGAGAAGTGCAATTAATGCCTCCTCCCCCTCTGCACAAAAGCATTCCCAATGGCACCAATTAAGCACAGGACTGATGAGGTGTGCTCCCAGCCACCTCCAGCCGTCAGGTGGCAATGCTGGGAACAGCTTCTGCAGAGGACAGAGTGCTAATTAAGCTTCCCTGGAGACCACAGCGATGGTCACCCCTTGCAGGGTGGCTACTGGGAGAGACACCATCCTGCACAGGCTCGTCTGCACACCCACAACTGCTTCTTCGTTCACCTTGGAGGCAACCACGACCGTGCCAAGTTGGTAACACCACCACATTTACCTGTGAACACTAGGCTGGCGTTCTCCAGTTCTTCCTGTGGAACCTTGAAGCTGAAGGACTCATTGTAGAAGGGATCTATCGTCCCCCGCATGCAGGAGGTCTTCTTCGTTTTTGTTAATTTTAATCCATGAACAAGCTGAATTTTCACAAAGGGATCTGACAAAAACCACAAAACACAGGCTCTGCATTATGGGCATTGTGAGTCAGTACCCCAGTTCCTGAAGGTTGGGCACCGCAGGGATGGACCATGCTGGAAAACGGCATTCGGAAATGACTGGGACTTGTACCACCGCACCGCTCCCAGGGATTTGCAGTGGAGACAAAAGTCAGGCAGCTGGATTAAAAACACTCCCTGCCAAAACCACGATTAATGACAGCCTTGATAGAGGCCAAGCGTACCGTTCTTTTTGGAAAATGCCAATATTCCGGCAGCAGCAGTAGCTGAGGCAGGGAACATGGAAAAAACACCTGAGGACATACATACGCATGAAGCAATTACCAGCCAGCACGCTCAGAAACGGCAGAAAGCAATGCATGGACACTGGAAAAACCTCACACCATCCACAGAGCAGCTAGATACCATAAATGAAACCGCTGCAACATTAACACTCAGGCAGCATGCAGCATCTGCAAAACACAGCGCAGCCACAAACGGGCTGCCTTACAGAACACAACACGGGGGTAATGTAGAGCTCTTGGTTCCTCACCTCAACCTGGTTCAGAGATTTTTACTTCAAATATGGCAAACTTTTATCTCACGGTAAGTGTTCCAAATACTTTCGTTATTGTTGGCTATATATATAAAATGAGTATCCGGAGCCTTGTATTAATAGGAACTAAGCATCCAAATCCCTCTGGGTCCCCCACAAATTGCAGCCTCGCCGCTGATCTGCTTTAAAAGCACATATAATCTGTGCATGAGTAATGTGAGAAATGCACTGCCCTTTACCTGAACCTTGGCTCATGTCTGTCTGAAGAAGCTGTTTTGCTCTAATGATGTCCACGTTCAGTCTTCCCGCGCTGGGTAGGTAGTTTAGTGACAACAGCAGCTCTCCCAGCTCCACTTCATTCTGCAGGGAAAAGGGAACGCAGAAATTCACAATGGAGCTTGGAGGGGAAGGGAAGAGCAGGAAGAGAAATTAAATAAATCCCATTTGTCTAAGTGCCTGAAAAATAAATTTTAGTCACGCTCTAAAGTGCAACCAAGAACCATCTGGTGGTACCTCATGCTGAGCAGAAACAAGAAAGAATACTATCCCCAGGTGAAGATCGTTCTTTAATCGCTGATCCTTCACCAGCTTTTCAGCAGTCATGCAAAGAGGACCTATAAGGAGGAATGAATACAAGGTCAGTAGTTTCTACCTGCTCCATTTTGAACAGTTCCTGGTGGTTCCGATCTTGCCAACCTCACATCCTCATTAATGTGCAAAACACGGACCCATTGGAGAAGACATCCTCTTTCCTCCCCAGACCCCAAGGACCGCACCAGCCACTTGGGAAGTTCAGGCACGAGATGGTTAATGCACTCCTGGGTCACAGGAAGGCAATTCAGAGGAGACATCCCCTCAGCATCCAGCCTGTTCTACCCAGAGACCAGGGCACAGCTTAACTGTGCCCCTGCTGTTCATCAGGCTGTGCCACAGCCATAGCTTCACATCAATACAGCTGTTCAGCCATCATTTCTTTTCCTTTTACTTAATGATGCTTAAAACTAGTAATTAAAAAAAAGAGCTGGAGAGCTGACATCACTGCTCCTCAGACGTGACAGCTTAAAATAACCTCTCCCCCCTAGCATGACCTGGCTCCGAGATGCTGTTATTCTCAGATGCAAAATACACACAATGAAACAACTCTGGAGACTGAAAACACACCAGCCAGTCCGGGCAGGGCATCGATCCATCTGCCTCATCTCAGGTTCACGCAGGAGTGCAGAGCTAGTTCTTCATCCCAAATAGCCAAACAGTTCAAAACCAAGCCTAGATCGGATGGTCACAGCCCATTCCCAAAAAGAAAAGGAGCTGCACTGGTATTGCAATCGTAACAAAAAGCTTAAATATCTTTACTGATGCCCCAAATATTACATTACAGAAATCAGAGACTAAAGGACTGGGCAGACAATAAAGAAAAAAGTTCTGAGACACAGTCACAGCCTGAATTGACCCAAAGAACCGGGTTCGTCAGCAGATGGGCCAGCACACGAGGTACCCATCCCCAGCAAAGCTATCAACAGCTCTGGGGAAACTGAGGCTAGGGCTGCTGGGAAACCCAACCAGTTCATGGCTACTCAGCTGCAAAAGGAAAAGCACAATTCCCACCAAGCGCAGATGAACCAGAGGGCTCGGACTGAACCCGAGGAGGCACTCAGGGAAAAGCCCCGTCGCCCTGCCAGGAGCAGCACAGCACCTCTTGCCTGGCTGGCCAGCAGCACAGACCGGCTCCTGCTAATGGCAGGCCACTCGGCTCTCACCTAACGAGCCAAGCGCTAAAACTGACATCAGGTAATGGTATTAAAAGTTTTTCCCGAGGTACTTTGTCTCCTCTCCTGTTCCTGTTGACTACTCCCGGTGAAGGCAGCGGGACGTGCGTGGCATGCAGGAGCAGGTGGCAGGCTGGGGAAGTCCTGCACCTCCGATGCTACATAATACAATTCAATTTAATTCAATATCCTTTTTTTGGCTTTCCACAGAAAATATGGCAATAGGATGCCCAATTTCACGTCAAAGGTCTCTGCGTTTCAGGAGCTGGCAAAGCAACCCCTCTGTGTTTAACCCCACACATTTAATGAGCAAAGGACGAGGGAAGCACCACGTGGGGAGCAGGATGAAGGCTGCAAGAACAGCAGCATCCTGACTCAGTCCCTGGGTGAAAAGCGTGCATCTACATCACAGATCCTAAGGCAAACCCACATGCCTTCCTCGCACACTCTGCTGCCTCAGGAGCCAGCTCCAGAGCCAACCTGGCAGCATTCACCCCACGCTAGCCCACCTTCTGCCTGACCTTCCCCACAGCCCCTCTCCCCTATGAGAAAAACCATCTGATTTCTTGCCCCAAACTCCTTTTGTCACAGCATCTCTTGGGTCACATTATGTGGCAGTATATGACTACACAGCACACACACTCATGTTCACCACGTGCATTTTCTTCCGTTGCCGCAGTATTTTTGCTTCACCGAGCTGTCAACCTTTGCCAACTCCCATATCACAGTTCTGTTCAATATATGACATTTTAAGTTCCTTCCATCAGAAAGCCATTCCCCAACACAAACCTGGCCCAATATGCACATGAAGCTCACGACTTTTGCGAGGTCAAGCCATACCTACATACGCTGTTGTGCCCAATGGCTGCACAACGTAAGGATCTAAGAGAGTCTCACATCCAAGGTGACTGAACCGTCATCTATCTAATTTAAACTATCATCTTTGGTTTGATTTTCCCCAAAACCACTCCTCTCGGTTCTGTGGCTGGAACAGCCTGAAGACGTGTTTATCATTGAGAACAGTCAGTGACTTCTAAATCTATTACCAGGACAGTAACGAAGCATCGCAGCGCCCACAACGCCACCCACAACAGGATCCACCTGAGGCACTCCTCGACCCCAGCTCATTTTTTATAACATATCAACAACATTTTTAACATATCCAGTCCTACTTCCACTTGCATTCACCAACGTGTCGGGTTTCATGCAGGCTTTAATACCTAGAAATTCAAGTACATTTGGACAGCACAAATTAGGAAACTAATTAGTGATGTTATTACCTGCCAGGAAGAGACAATCAAACAGCTCCAGCTGCAAATACCAAACTTCTGGCACAGCCAGAAGGCAGGCTGGCACTGGGCAGGGACGTAGGACCTTTCAAGTCATCTCAAGCTTAGAGTGCTGAAAATGCACATTAAGATTTGCAGCAATTACTTCTGGATTCGTCCATTGGTGGAACCTGTTGACCTTATCCAAGACCTGCAGGAACTAAGGGGCTTCCCTGGGTCAGGGAGGAGCGGTGAAGCTCAGCAAAGGGAAGGTAGATGTCCACGCTTCTGACACGTTTACATTTACGCTCCATTTTAAAAAAATGGCCCCATGTTGTACGCTGACAATATCAGACTGGGTAACACCCACCAAGGCACAGGCAGGAGACTCAGGCATCTACCCCCACCTGAACCCTCCCCAACACTGTGTCCCATAACCCCTGCAGAGGTTATGAAAGGAGCCACTATAACATAACCATCACACTGCTGCCTAACCCACAAGCCTTCAATAGGTAAAGGTAAAGCTAAATCCCTGATTTTCCATAGGACCTAACCTAACAGGGATATTGGCACCTCTAGAAAAATCTTTTTGACTATCTGGGCTTAAATTTGAGTGAGATACAAAATGCTATACTCTGTAAGTGTGATCCACTGAAGTCAGAAGACAGACTACCACCAGCTTTAATGAGTCTCAGATCAGGCCTAATTTCCCAAATCTCAATAGCACCTTCTGCCCCTTCATGCTTGGCAAGCGTGCCCAGAATTCTGTTAATTATTTTAAGGGAAGGAACATACAATCCAACCCACAGAGGCCATGGCAGGATGGGCGTGCTCAAAGCCAGCAAGAAAGCAGCAGCTTCCTTGTAGGCAGAGCACCAGCAGTGTCTGCAGCGATAACAAAAGGTGTTTTCAGAAGGAAACCCGGATCCCTGGATAGCTCACCTCTCTGTACAAGTGACTCAGCCTTTTCGAGGCACTTAACTCAAGTAGTGAACTGCCTCTGATCTTATAAATGCATTATTTCTAGCTTAGCCGCAAGGATCTAGGAAACATGCTTCAAATCCTGCCACAGTGCCTGAGGGGACGTCAAGCACTCGAGAAAACAAATCAGTGGCCAGCAGCCACCACACGTTCCTCCCCAGCATGTTGGACCGGCACTGCCTCCACCGTGTCGTGCTGCACCACGCTCGCTAGCTTTCTCCTGTTCTTTGGTCATCTGTCATCATTAGCAAACAAGCAAGGAATTAACAGGTTGCTCCAAGAAGCCCAAGGTACAAGGCATACCTCCTCAGGTTTTGGTTCCCCGTGCTTTCCCCGACAAGCTCACACCATGGCATACCTTTGCTGATGTGACAGTCTTGCTAATAAGACATGTTGGTGGCACAGTTTGTGTCAGAGATGAAGATGCAGAGAGAGCTGTGGCTTAATGGACTCGCTGGCTCAGCGGGCAAAATGGATGTAACTGGGGAGCACAGTGAGGTCCACTGCGAGATGGAGAAACAGGACCCTTCATGTTAGGATCAGGCAGGAGACTCAGCTCAGGGAGGGATGAGTGGCCACAGAGGTCTCAGGTGGCTCATGGGGCCATAGGAGCTGCCCAGGGTGCTCCTCCAGCCCACAGACCCACTGAGCTCACCTGCACCTTGGAAACACTCTGTGTTGCCATAACCATTGACCCCCATGCCCATCACCTTGTTTATAGGCATCTTTATCAGCAACGGTGTTAAGACACGTCTTGCTGGGAGACTGCAGGCACAGAAGCGTGGCTTTTGTTTTGTCACACATTGGAGCCTCCCCAAACCTCAGACTCGCATAGCGGCTGAGCAGAGGAGAGGGATGCTTATGCATGAGAGGTGTCATCAGCACATTGTTCACCATAGGGAAAGGAAGTGCCTGAATTTTATTTTTCCTAGGTCTTTTTGTCAGGAAACTAAAATGCTGTTGGTGTCGCCTTGAATATTTTGCTCACAGAACGCAGTGTGCGGAGGTGCCCCTCAGGCACCACCATGCAAAGGCATCATTTTAGTTGCCATTATTATGCTGATGACGCGCTGATTTGTGCCAAGATCCCAGATGACCCTGGAAAAGCAATTTCCTGTTTGATGAGGTGCCGGAGTGACACCAAGTCTGGGATGTCTGAGGCTCTCCTGAAGCTCTGATTAACATTTCACTCCTGGCTGTTCCTCTCTGCAGCTGTATTACACAGCCAGTCGTTTGGATTTGCAGCCTTGGGCTCGCCTGTGATCCAGAACCTTCTGCAGTTACCGTTTGGGTTGAACCAGACACACATAAGAAGTTTTTTTTCCTTTTCTGTCATCTCTGAAAC